TAATATAATAAATGTTTAATTTAGAAAAGACTATAACTTTATTGAACAAACTCGTAAGTTTAATAAATACAAAATATTGTAAAAATCAATATAACGTAAAAATTAGTATATCTTCAGAAGTTAATATTAATCAGGCCAAATGCCCCGATATCATCGAGGATATACAAAATCAGAAACCTTGAAACCATTAATTAATCTTGTTTTATCATAGTACAAAGCAAGAATTAATGATTATGACTACGCGATGATAAATAACTGGTGCATTTCAAATCAGCTTTATGTAAATGTAGTTTGTCTGACCATCCGAAATAACAGTCAAATATAATTATTTTGGGTTTGCTTGAAGATCGGGAAAGTTGAAGACATAACTATAAAGTAAATTTACATAAGAAAGCATCTCGAGGCTATTCAATGATCAACATGACACTATTATGTCGATTTCTTAGGGAGCTAGATTAGAAAGAACAATGTTTATAAATAGCACAAAATCATCCTCCCTCTCAATGTTCATTCCAAATCCTAACTGTTATTCTAAGGTGACTTAGAAATATAAGTGAACTACAAAGGGTATTAGAAGGAGAAAGATCGATCAATCCAGACTAGTCTGACGCGTAAAAAGGATAAAGATCGATATATCCAAATTTGGATCCTGTTTCGAATAGAAAAAACACACTTGATATATCATACCATTGACTGGACTAGGGTTCATATATATGTATGGTTAGACGATATAGCTTATAATTATTTTTTTTTGGTGTATTGTGTTTGAAGCTTATATAATAAGGCCATAAGGGTTTGTAAGAGATTATCCACATAATCAATAAAAAATTTATACAAAGGGGTATTCGCCTCAATCACCTTCTTTTATTTTCAATTCATATATTGTTTTCACAATGCCGAATTCACAACACTAACAAAAAAAAAGTATAATCTTTGTTGTTGATAGTTTAAAAAACTAAAAATGTTGTTAATAATAACGAGAAAATTTTTAGATGTGTAGAAGATAGGATTATTAGAAAGGAAATATCTAAAAATAAAACAAGAAGAAACCTTAATCTATTTACCAGAACCGTTTTATTTTTCAAACACTTGATAACCACCTCATATACCAATTTCTAATCGCAAGAATATTTCAATTAGTAACGTAAATGGTTGATTATTGCGATTAAAAATTTCTAGAGACTAAATCACCTAGTTGGAACTATGACATGTTAAGTTAAATGGTTGATTCTTGCGATCATGTCATAGTTCCAACTCGGTCTACAAACAAAGACTTTTACGAGAAGACTTGAACATTGGTTGCAACTATGACATGATCACATAATAATAAGAATGACAAGAGACTAATCACCATATGCTTTGAATTAAGCCTCCCTATCTATTCCTATAGTCCATTACAGTTTTCAACAAAATTACTTAAATACGATCCATGTTTTCATGTCAACGAGATTAGTCGATAAAAGTGGTTAATCACCTTTTCTGATAAACTAATCTTATAGGCAAAAAAAGCTGAGCTACCTCTTTGAAAAATTATCTCATCCCAATGGACCCACAATCAACCATTATCACCTATCCAGTCCCCATTTCTACCTAACGACTTCAAATTAAAACACAAACAAAAAAAAAGTCCACAATTGTTAAAGAAAAAGTAAAAGAATAAAGAAAAAAATAACTTCTTTTCTATATAAGCTCACTTTAGCTCTCACTAAACCCACAATACCACATTGTCCCTTCACTTCTCTCTAT